AAGAGAAGAACCCGCTAATTCACTAAGAAGTATATCGAAACGCTAGCTATCAATAAATAATATACCATTCACTATTATTTAATATAATATATACCGATCGAGAGATATTATTATAGCGGATTTCCTAGCGAAGCTAGAGGTCTTAAAGATAGATATTATTATAGTATAAGAACCATAGGAAAACCTATATAACGATACCATATACCACCTATTAAAATAGATATATAAACTACTCTTTCCGTCTAGCGCGGAGACCGGCGGAGGGAGAGCAAGAGTATATATATATATCTCTAAGAGAATAGATACCAACTAGACGCACTATATATATAATGAATTTTACTAAGAAGTAAGATTCTAGGCCGGCCTTAGCGAGATCTACTTCTTTAATATATATAACAAGTATAGTACTACCGATATAGTAGAGTAGCTCGGCGTATTATTAGAAGGTAGGAGGTATATTATACTTACTAGCGATTTCAATCTCTACCACCCTACCTAGAGAGGTATTAAGGCTATATAAGATCTAGGCTCTAATAGACTTATTAAGCTCTATAACGATATAGATCTAGATCTATAGCTAGAACCTAGTATAATCACTAGAGATTAAAATAACGAACGAACCATAATTGATTTACTCTTTAGTATACCGGGCCTAATAGAGAGATTAGTAGTATACGAGCTAGCTCTAGATTATTACGCTAACTCTAATCATCTCCCGATTTATACGCTACTCGATATTAATACCGTACTAATTATCGAAACGAAGAGGCGGCTTTAGAAGGCTATAGATACTAAGAAATTCGATATATTTATAGCTAACAATCTCCTATATCTAACCCTACTATAATTAACAATACCCTAACAAATTAACGACGTAGTTAACCACCTAATCAATATCGTATAATAAGGGGTTTACAAATCGACGCTATAGGCTAGGCCGAGCCCTCTCGCTATTCTATCGTAGACTAAGGAATATAGAGAGGCTATTAAATACTCTCGTTATATATTTCGTTAGTATCTCGCGATATATAGTAAGGAGGACTAGGAGACGTATAAACTAGCTAAGAACTAGAAGGGGAAGATAATTAAAGCCGCTCTCCGGCGTAGCTTCTAGAACTTTATTAAAAAGGCGGTAAACTAAGGCCCCTAGGGTTTATAGAGAGTAGCTAAATAGGCTAGAAATCGGGGCTAATAGTAAGGGAGTACTATACTAGTACTAAAGATAGCTAAAGGAGGGGCTATAAAGATAGACGAAGAGAAGGTAAATCTACTCTATAAGATATTCTTCCTATAGCCACCGGAAGTAGATCTCTCCGATATACAATATAGCCACGCTAGCTATCGAGAGTAGTACTAGCTTCTACTAGTAAGTAACACTAAAGTAAGAGCTACAATCAAGAAAGTACCACCCGATAAAGTACCTAGATATAATATACTACCGAATAAACTATAGCGAGTCCTTATAAGAATAGGTTTAGAATCTAAGTTAGAAGCGAGATTTATCCTACTCCTTACTATAATCTTCGACGCCTACGTCCGAATCGGCTATAACCCCTAGCACTTCCAAACCTCCGTTATAGTAATACTATATAAAGCCGGCCCGCGAGACTACCAAGTCCCTAAATCGTACCGACTAGTTATATTACTAAATATACTTAGTAAGGTCCTTAAGGCAATTATTATAACTCGAATTATATAGCTTATAGAGGAACACAAACTACTCCTAGATACGTACCTTAAAGGACGAAAAGGGATCTCTATTAACCACGCGATATAGTTGATCCTTAGGCGAGTATACTAGGCCTAAGGGGAAGGTAAGATAGCGAGTATACTACTCCTAGATATCGCTAGAGCGTATAATATAGTCTCTTACGAGAGGTTACTATATAATATATAATAGATAGGACTTAGTACGCTTACCTCCTAGGTATAGTCATTTCTTACTAGCTAGAGTATAAGAATTAAGCTACCGAATAGCTATCTTAGCGAAGCATTTCCTATACTAATAGATATACTATAGGACTCACTAATCTTACCGATCCTATTCCTACTCTTTAATATACTACTAGTTCGCGCCTATATATTATAGGGGCTATACTATAAGGAGAGCGAGGTATATAGATAGGTTAACGATATATATATTCTAGTAGTATCAAATAGCTATAAAGAAAACATTAAGTTACTAGAGAAGGCACTATAAAGAGCGAGTACTTAGGTAAAGAAATATACCGCTAAGTTCGTACCTAATAAGTTCGAACTTATATACTTTACGAACCTACGGCTTACTACTACCACTTTCTTAGATATAATAATATCGGCCTAGGATATAATAGATATCTAGGAGATCCTAGATAACCCGGCTAGTTATAACAATATACTAGTTACTATTCTAGGAGATATACCAACTATCCTTAAACTAACCGATATAGCTAAATACCTCGATATATAGCTTAACAAGCACCTCAATTTCATAATATACCATAAGAAAATACTTATAAAGGGAGCTAGTAGTCTAGAAGTACTCCGCGGAATCTTAGGTTCTACTTAGGGGTTATTATTAATCGTAATATAGAAGGTATACTAGGTAGTTATTATTCTATAGATACTATAGGGACTATCTACGTAGTACTACCTAGCTATAAAAGCGATACTAGGTCTTAATAAGCTTATAAACGAACTTATAAAAATCTAAAAACGTATAACAATCCTAATTAGCGGTGCCTTCTAGGGAACGGTAGGGGTAGTACTCGATATAAAACTATTTATTACCCTAATTAAACTACGACTATAGTAAATCGTCGAAGAGATAGCTATACAAATCCTTACTAGCCCGCGATAGATATACCCGTAAACCATAAAAGAAGCTAGGAAACTAACGTAAAGAAGAATCGGTAGGTAGACTCTAACCAAAGCGATTACGTAAAAGAAGCTATTACGCCTATAAGAGAGAGAGAAATAGGAGGAAAAACGCGTATTCGTACTTACGCCTTAGGAGGTACGAATATCATATTTTATTAAGAACTAAGAGGTAGTATTAAAAACCTATAATAACATTTATAAAAACGTTACCTACGATAACTATAGTTATACTAGCATGATTTTCATAGACGGAAGCGGGTTTATAGGATATATTAGAGTATTAATAGCTAGATATTACCCGGAGATAACGATATAAAGATAATACCTTAGAACGGACTCTTAGTCTATAATATACGCTACCGAGCTCAGCGGTATTAAGATAGCACTTACTAAAACTAAGGAGGGTATAGACTTAAATCTTAATAATAGATAACCGACAGCTCGAGAAGTAATCATTTTCTCCGATAGCTAAGCTACTATCTAGGTAGTTCAAAACCTATAGCGACCGTCTAGCTAATACGTACTTATATATATATACGTATACGTATAAGCTATCCGGTCGCGTAACTAGGACTAGCAAAATCTAACAAATATTACTATTAGATAGATCCCTATATACGTTAGTATAGATAGCAATAAATTTACCGATAGAGAAGTAAAAAGCGTAGCGCTTCTTAGTATAGGGATAGGAGTTACGACCGGGAGCGGAACGGGTAAACTAATAATCCGCCTTACTATAGCTACTAAGAGAGCGGTACGCTAACGAATTAGAGAGCGGTAGGAGAAGTAGTAGGAGCGGGAGAGAACCTCCGCTCTAACAAAGCGCTTAGTATAGGCGCCTAATAAGAAGACACTCCGGTTATACGAAGGACTATCGAAACTATAATATACAATCTTGATTTAGATACGTATAATACGGATCGGGCTTCGATACTTCTTATTCAAAATTAAGGCAGCCGAGACAGACCGGTATAATTATAATAAAGGCTTACAAATACCGAGGTACATTCTAATATAGTATCTACGGTATATTATACTATATATAAAACTATAGGAGTAACTAGATAGAATTAGGATTAGATTCATAGATATAGACTATAACAAGATTATATCTAACCTATAGGCTATCCGCTATATAGTTAACTTTATATACCGGATAGGTCTCCTCTAGCAGTTTCAATACGTTAGAATCGAGGAGGAAAATAACGACGACGAACCGATAGGCCTTACAGCCATAGACCTAGGTATAGAAGACGATAGGCATTAGCCAATAACGACAAATAATACTATAAAACGAGAAACTTAGCCAAAGTCGACTAATATACCAATCAACTGGCCACGATACCGTCACTATTAATAGAAACTAAGGTAGGGGGGTTTACACATACAGAGAGAGAGAGAGAGAGAGAGAGAGAGAGAGAGAGTAAGAGATGGAAGGTGGGGGGTGCACCCCACGACAATCATTATATAACGATTTCTTATATATAGGATAGATGGGGTTGGATTTATGGGCTATTATAGGAATGGGCTGATTCCGCACTCACTACAATCAGCATCTATATGCTCTGGGAGAGATCCCGCTCGGCGTTTGGCTTCGAGTTCTTGCTTCAGTTGGATGAAGCGCCTGCATAGTCATACGCAACTAGTTAGACTGCAACAGGTTAATTGAACTTTGATTGATTGATTGATTGATTGATTGATTGAACCAGTCGCCCCCACTCGACCCACCGCTCTGTCAACTGGCCCTGGGACCGGAAAAACTTGCACACGGATACTTCGAGGATGGGTTTGATGGAAAATGACAAGAAGTCGGATGAGGGCTATCAAAAAGTAGACGCAAGGTAGTATTATAGGACAATGTGCTTCTTTGGGTGTGGTTTGAGCGTAGACTGAGTGCTCAATAGTTAACTAGTTAGTGCCCACCTGGGCAGGTGCGAGCAGTCTCTTAAGTAATCACTGAGCAGTCACTGAGCATTCACCTAGGCCTCACTGATTCATCACATGACTGGTCTGGGTAGACATCCACTAGGCCTGCACTCCTGGCTCCAATATCATGAACTCATCAGTATGGGAGTCCATTTGAGCGAGTGCGCCGATAGGTAAAGTCAGAAGCGGGCTTGTATGGCCAAAGTCGACGTTCATCACGATTGGCAATCCCTCGGGCTCTCGGGCAACAATGACATTAAAGATCTCCCCAATAACCCCAGCGATCTCGTCCTGCATTTGGCGATCATACTTATATCCTCTTCCGATGGCCATTCCACTGATGTCGTGCAGCGCGCCCGATAACGCAAGATCAACTAGGCTGCTGCGGAAATCGTTGACGGAATAGGGAAGGCTTATATCGTCGCCCATAGAGGACTCCAGGAATAGAATTTTCCCTTTCCAGGAACCAGGGGCGTAGTTGGTCCCCTGAAGCCGCACAACGCAGGAAACAGTACCCCCGTAGAGCTGACCAGTGGCACGACCGCTGCGAAGCCAACGCCACGACGGCGATGCAGCAACCTCACGTGGTTTCTCGGAGGCCTCTTCGCCAAAAAGAAAGTCGTTGTGTACCATCGAGTAGATAGGCGAGCGAGGTAGAGGGCCTACTGGATCCTCCGCCTTCGTCAGGACATGGAGAAAGTGATCGACGGTGAACTGCATGGGTGTCGGAAAGTCGGAGATGTCTGTCAAGATGGACGGTCCGTAGAATGTGCGCAAGCCGGTGCGAGAGTTAATCGCATAATGGAGGAAAGTGGTGTCGCTGTATCCAACAAAAATCTTAGGATGCGATTGGATTAGGGAATAGTCGAGGAATGGTAGCATCTCATTGGCATGGTCACCACCTATCGTGCAAATAATGGCGGTGATCGCGCTGTCGCGGAAAGCCGCATGAAGCTCCTCGCAGCGGGTACGGATCGACTTGGCAATACCAGCGTCTGCTGCGAGAGCTGTGTAGAATATCCGCACTTTAAAGCCTAGAGACTCGACATATGCTCTTCCACGCTCGAGGGGGCCGGGCAGGATATCATTCAGACGTGCGGAGGGACTGACGAAGGCAACTGTGTCCCCTCTCTTCAGGGCTCTGGGAATGATTGGACGCATTCTCTTTGAGTTTGGGTAGGGTAGATCTTTGGTAGGCGGAAATTTACTACAATATCTCCTCACAATGACTTTGAGTTCTGGTTTGGATTAGGTAAGTTATGATCGTAGAGGGAATGTGGAGGATAAGGAGGTCAGTCGCGGTCTTAGATGATCCATAGATTGCGAGGCCTGTCAGGCACAGCCTGAATCAGACAAGCACATCAGTTTTCCAAGAATAACGTAGCCGATCTATTAGCATTTTAGTGCTTACAACTTTTGATTGGGCTCAAGTGCCCGTCTTACGACGTCTTATCATATCCCGCAAGCAACCAACCCATATTGGTTAGTGTAGGGTCCGGCATAGCTAGCGAGCTAGCGGCGCGCCCAACTCTTTCGCCTGTTCTAGCGATACAGGTTCATTTCTAGCTTATAGTAATATAATTTTCCGTAAGTTTTGAAATAAGGCTAATATATTATTTCTATTTCTTAAAAGTGATATATAGTTTTAATAAGCCTTATCAAAAGTTATCGACAAGCGATGAAGTAAAATAAGAACGTGGTTGTTAAGATATAAATATAGAATATATCGCATTTACTATGTGTTTTGGAGATGATGGCTCGCTTGTGGTGGCGGCTCGCTTGTGAAATACGTTAATTTAGGCGTAAGTTAGGCCAAAATAAGGCATTCAGGCATTAAATTCAGGCATCCAGAATTGAGCGCTATACACCGTCGTACCTGTGGGCTCTGACCACCCAATCGCCTTGGCATAGCTTATCTGACTTAAAGCTGCCCGTATAGTGGATGATACCTTAAGGTACGGAATATCTATGGCAGCCATTTCAACCGAGATAAAAGGGCTAAAGGGGAGTAGTGTTTCTTACAGACAAACGGGGCCCACTTTTGGTATTGCCTAGCATCGGGAATAAGCACCCCCAAGCCATAATAACGGATGATGGCTGTCTACGTGACTCGTCGAGCTAAACTATATGCTCCTAAGAGATTTATAGGGTTTACTTACTCTCGGTGCCTAAGGTAGCTACTTGCTAGATGCCTTAGGACAATACTTCTTAGCACTCGGCTAAGTCATTAGTAGCGAGTGCCTATTACTAAGGGATTTTCTCTAACTAACGTATTTCACAAGCGAGCCGCCACCATAAGCGAGCTGCCATCTCCAAAACACATAGTAAATGCGACATTCTCTATATTTATATCTCAACAACCACGTTTTTGTTTTGCTTTATTACTTGTCGATAACTTTTGATAAGGCTTATTAAAACTATATATCACTTTCAAGAAATAGAAATAATATATTAGCCTTATTTCAAAACTTACGGAAAATTATATTACTATAAGCTAGAAATATATATATCTCGATAAATAAGAGCTAAACATTTCCCAAACTCTCTAAAGAGGCTAGATATCATCAAAAGGTCATTAGACTACAAGTTAAGGTGCTCATAGGCTAACGTTGTTAAGATCTCAAATTGTAATCTATCGCATTTACTATGTGTTTTGGAGATGGCGGCTCGCTTGTGAAATACGTTAGGCCAAGCCCTTGCTTAGCGCTGATATAATACATTCTATATTTAGCTAGTAATTACTACTACCCAATGAAAACCATGCGATCCTAACATAATCTCACAAGTTCTTGCTTCAGTTAGATAAAGCGCCTGTATAGTCATAAGCAACTAGTTAGACTGCAATAGGTTAATTGAATTTTGATTGATTGATTGATTGATATATATATGAAGTAAATAATCAACCAATCAACACACCGAATTCCTCAGCAAGCCCAGCAATCAATCACTGTGACAACCCAGGAAACCCCATCGGATCCAAACTGGCGAAGTCCGCAAAATCGAAGTCTTCCACATTCACCAATCCCATGAAATTCGCCGTATCAAGGCCTATCCCTGCCGGGCCCAGAGGAGCAGTAAACGATTCCATCATGGGATGATTATTCTCAGATGGACCGGTCCCAGTATGCTGGTTGTTAGCGATACCAGAACTGAGACCCTGCTGGAACCGAATCCGATTCAGCAACCAAATGATTTGGGGCCATGCACCCGTGGTATGCTGACCTCGAATCTCGTAGATGGCGTTCGCTAATTGGAGGCCTCGCTGGCGGAGATCGGCCCACTCTGGGGATTGAAAGCCAGAACTGCGGAGTTCGGACAGTATGTAGAGAATCAGGTAGAAGCCGGCGTGGGAGAGTAGATGCCATTGGAAGGGTTCGCAAGCCTTGCTAGAGGCGTTAGTACACCAGTTCTCTATGACTGTGGCGGCATCCTCGAATATGCTTGACGTTTGATACTACGTATTAGCAAAAACAGATTTACCTTCCCTTTTGGGTGAAGGGTTGAAAGGGGGGAAAGGAATGCTAACTTTCTTCTCATAGCGGGACTGATGATCTTTTCGCGATCTTGTCGAGTGATCTGAATCCAGAACATGACCCAGAATTTGGATTTCAAGTGGTTTCTCAAATCCAAGGCCATTGATTGTATACTCACCCTCTTATCGCAGTATCGAACGAGATCGTCTAGGTTCTTCTCAAACTCGCTCGCGATAGTCTCAGCAGTGTTCAACAGGCCTTGTAGCTCCGTTAATGCTTCGGCCTCGCTCATAGCACCACAGAGGCCGGAGCGCAATCGCTTTTGCGAAGCAAGTGCTACCTGAATAATACGCCCATAATACTGGACAGCGGTGATCCGTAGGAGATAGATGGTCATATCGGTGAATTTGGGGACATCCGAGAGTGCGGCCGATGGTGCTACCCCTTCAACCAGATCGACATCATCTAGGCTGACGGGTCGACACGTATCGAAGTCCGACTCATGAATCGAAGGCGCAAACCCATGATCCTCCGCCGCACGGAAATCCAAGTAACAGATCTGCGCCCACAAGCGACGACGCAGCTCCACCTGTATGACATCGATCGTCCCCAGCGGTAGAGCTAAGGGGTCCCGGTGTAGTCCATGGACCGTCGCCATTCGAATAGCCAGCCCAGTCAACGGCCATACCTTCCCCATATCATCTTCCCGATATTGCGCGGTCTTTGGAGTGTAAATCTTAATTAGCTCAATACTGAGGATTTTCTTTTCTTGCTCTCTTAAACTTACCAGGAAAATCACAAATGCTTGCAAAACTTCAAAGTTCCTAGAGGTCATAAATTTCTGCCGTTTCAGATACACCTCCGTTCCCATTCGGTATCGATTCAGGAGGTAGGACTTGTCCGTGCTAAACACGGTGGCCATATCGGTATCCCTCATACTGTTGACGGCTGCGTAGAAGATGGACATGACCAACGGCTCGAACGCGTCCATATTATTACTCAGGTGGAAATTCATACTGAGATTACTCCCCGCTATGTTAGGGGTGTGATCATTCTCAAGGGGGTAATGAGTGCGAATGAATGCGTCAAAGCGACGGGCCAGACTTGGACGATGGACAATTCGGTGAATCGGGTTGACATTGTCCAGGAAAACATTCAGGAGTAAATAGCAATCCTCTCGTGTATCGGGCCAGAAGGTACCGTTATCTATAGGTGAACCGGCGTCCCAGATGATATCTTCGAGCGCCTGTTCGGGGGAGGAATTCTGAGATTCTGCAAGAACCGATTGGATGTCTTGGAGCTAGATGAGCAGAGGACACTCGGTTAGTACCTCTCTGCATTGGCATAAGTATAAACTTTAAGTACAATAGGGAGCACACCTCCGCTGCCATCCAGGCCCAGTGTTTGCCGGAGACAAAGTGGGGGACTCCATTATCGAGAATCAGTGCATCTTCTTGCGATCGCGGCTGTGGAGGCGATGCATTGAGGGGGGTTGGCGCCGATCGTGTAGGTGCGAATGAGTCCAGCGACGAGGAACTATGCGCCGGTGCCTCATATGCTTTCGCTTGCGCCATGAGGTTACCAAGACGCTGAAGACTGGGATTGATTCGGGCTAGCGTGGATGAAGAGATCTTGGGGGCACTGCTGGATTTGGTGACCCGGCTCATCTCCGAGGCCAGCCCCGGTGACTGAGGCTTTGACACGTAAGAACAGACATAATCGCCTCGCTCGCACACCAAGCATAGCGGTTGCCGGCGGTCACATTTGACCTTGCGACTACGACACGGCAGACAAGAGGTAATGGGACGAGAAAAGCTACTCAGGGGAGACGGAATCGATTCCGCAGGATACTGTGTGGATGAGGGGTGAAAGGGGGAGGCATACATGGCGAAAGAGAAGGGGAGGAAAAGTGGGAAATGCGATGCAAACTACTCTGTACTATTAAAGCATCCGCACGCTGCTAGCGACAGCAGCTAGTGGCGGATGTTGCCATTATTGTTATTCAAATACAAAATCAAAAATGCCATTTTCATACCAAACAGGATTAGCGTAGTATATTTTACTCGCCAAAATACAAAGAACGCCAAGGCTCCTCAGTCCAGAAATTATGTAGTTAGCTATAGTTAACTAACGTACGTATTTCACTACCGAGACGCCCACCCCAAAAACACATAGTAAATGCGATATTCTATAACCTTATATCTTAATATCCGCGTTTTTTGTTTGATTTCGTTGCATATCGATAGCTATCAATAAGACTTTTAAATACTATATATCAATCTTAAGAAAATCGAAGAGGTGCATTATTATAGTATTGAAAATTACAGTGCTGAAAGCCAGGAATATATATATCGCAATCACGAAGTGTTTTTGGGTGGGCGGCTCGGTAGTGAAATACGTTAATTAACGCAACTATGTGATTCGATTCACATAGTTATATAATAGGAGAGGTTTACAGTTCAGACAGTACTCCGTACATTATCGTAATTAGAAGTTTAGGGCTAGGATACCAAGGCATCATACCGTATTTCACCGACATATTCTATTCTATAGTTATTATATCATGGTACTTTAGGCGTAGCGTGACATGGCAATTTTATATAATTTTCTTATTTCAGTATGTTGAGATACTCAAATATTAATTTGCCAAAAGGGAATACATCCTCTCTACGAAGTGCTTATTAGATATACTACTCCGTAGTGACTTTGTGTGGACTTAGGTACGTATAAAAAAAGGCTAGTACGTCAAAAGCTTTACCCGGCCCTTCGGACGGCCCAACACCCCAAAGGCGCCGAGTAGCCGTCTTACCAGCCCCCAACCGTAGTTGGGATCTGTCCCCTAATACAGATATTACCCAGAAAACAGAAACTTTGCTCTTTTACATCAACTTCCTACTCATTTTTCTACTACACCATGATGCCAAAAGAACCCTGGAGTCAGAAATTGAAAGACAATTGGCAGTTGAAGCCCACTGCACTAACCCTACGAAGACGTAACTATAGGGGCCAGGTCAAACCCCCTTGTCGGGAGATTTTGATGCCTGGATACCTGAATTAGTACTACTTTATATACCGCCCTAATATAGTGTACTGTAAATTGTTAATACGTCAACCTGCTAGATGAAGCTTTTGGACTTGCAGCCACCAGCAATAATGGAGGTACCTGAATTTTTATGGAGGTTAAAAGCTTCATTTTTTGGACTTGCAACCGCCCAAAATAAAAGAGATACTTGAATCTGTATGCATTCCAAGGGCTTTATTTTTAGAATTGTAAACGCTGTGGCCAAAAATATCCCGTAAAAGGTAATTAATTCATAGCACATGCCGGCTTATTTTTTCAACTCCTCTCCTGGTTTCTAGCCCGGGCCCACGGGATGCAATGCTCGGCCGTAAACTGGACATTCTGTTGGAAAACCCTGATGACGCATGGGGGTAATTTGATTAGGCTATTTCTTTGCTCCATATCTACACGGGGGAGGTGCAAGGTCAAGAGAAAGAAAGAGAAAGAAAGAGAAACACGATACGGAGTACTCCGTTCCTCTTTCTTTCGGGCAGAGATTTTGATGTGACGCTAAAACGAAAAGGAAATTGCCTCACCTGTTAGCGGCACATGCCGTCATTGATTGAGCGATTGGCCTAATATCGTTGGTCCACCCCGTCAATGGACTTGCTTACTCTTTCCTAAGACGTGAGCCAATAAGAATAGATTAATTTGTTGGTACCCTAAATCTAGAAATTTCAAAGTGTGGATATAATGAATCTTTGCAATCGGAATGGCCTGCGATCTGGTTAGGGCGCGATCCACGGGGGCTAGTATTTAGCTTTACGGCCCCGTAGAATGTATCCATTATGTATTACGGAGTCCGTACGATATCGATTTAGAGCCCCTTATTTCTGGTGGATTGGGAGTGTCTCAGAGAGTGTTTCGGCGGAGTCTAATGCCGCAGCCGGTGCAAATTTTCCGCAAATTTTTTTAGCTATGAACTACGACCTAAACAAGGGCTTGTAAGACGGGAACGAAGATTGAGAAGTCTCATAAGATCTTTTATATGGTATTTTTCAGAGAATAAAATAAAACAGGCTTCCAAGTTATCTTTTACTAAACATGACATCTTCTCTTTCTATCCCATCGACATCAAACTCGCATCAATCGACAATAGGTCCCTTCCTACATACAAAACCCTCAACATCTCCTCTTCACAGTGAGCTAGAACCGATAAGTTACATTGAACATCCACGGTGGTAAGCGATACCACATTGGCCTGTGTATCAAGTGTCGATGGTTCCTTTTTCTCCAGGATGCAACGCAGACCTCTCAAAAGGCCGATGCCATCCCGGACCGCCATGTGGATTAGGAATCCGTGCATTACGTGGACCTGCTTGTGAGGAATTTCATACTCGCCGCATCGAATGTCAATCCCTTTGGCGGAGGGTGGGTAACATGCTAATGGAGCTTCACGTTGTTCCAACGATGCTCTCGATTAAAACCAGCCACAGGCCAACCGGATACACCATAACATAGAGAAGAACAGTTGAGAGTAGTGCTCGCTACTCTCGCATTGCAAGGTCGCTCGGATAGTAGCCCAGGCATTGTTAATAATTTGCATTCCCCGATCGAAGCGGCCACGTTCGCAGGGATCTTGTGTCAGGCTGCTTAACTGGACTATGTTGTCTTGGAGATGGCCAACCCAAGCGCATTTCTGAGAAGCGATACTCGTCGTCTCGATAGTGATCGCCCCGGAGGCGGGAGTATCATACGGGTTTGCATTAAGTAGTGGTAGACAGTCTGGGATGAATGGGAGATCTGTGCTGGAGAGGGGAGCAAGTTGAAGAGCCTCTTCCATATGTCCCCATCCCATTACCTCGTCGGGCTGTAGCCAAATCTCTCTATTTGGTTGTAGCTCGCCTCCATCTGTGAACATGATCCACTTGCTGTCCCAGTTCAATGGCATTAGTATGTCGTCTCCGGTGCTCATATCCGATCTTGAATGCTCTCCTTCACTGGTTGCACTATATGTGCTGCTGCCGCTACTGTCCTTTGCATGTGGCTGTGAGCAAAGCTGATTGGTTTTCATCATCGCTTCCTGTCGCAGCCGCTGCGCCTTTTCGAGGGTCTTCCTGTTGCGGGACCCCTTGGGCTTGCCCGTCCGAACCACATATTCATATCGGCAGGGTATATCCAGCTCTATGCATCGGGCACATGGACTATAACCTGTACATTTGACCTAATAGTTCAGAAACGTTAGCAGTGTCGCATTTAGACTATAACCCACCCTCAGCTCACTTTTGACTGATGACAGAAGTTACAAGCTTTGCGTAACTGACTATGCGGGCGCTGTGGACTATTGAGAAGACTCGTCATGATGGTTGAAATATTGGTATAGATGAACGGATCGCAGAGTCATGCTTGTTCTTGTATCTTGTGGGTGGTTGTGTTCTATTTACAGTTTCTCACATCTGCACTTACATTAGCATCGGCCGAGTGGAAAACAAGGATACTTGAATCCCTTCGTACGAGCCGGGGGTGTTTATCCCCACTCGAATGGTCTCCCAAGTTCCCTATGATAGTGTGCTAGGTTAGCATCTATGGATATGAGCCAAACCATAGAACACCCACCAAGAGAGGCGTAATGCCAACTATCTGACTGGCGGAGAGCTTGGCGTATTTTGCAGTACCACCTATCATAGATGAAGAGTACCTACTAGCGGCTAGCCATAACCGGCCAATTATAGCCGAATGGATCAAATATTTAGCTGAGTTTGCATGTCTCTATATTATTCGTGCAGTATATTAATCAAACACTGCATATGTGCGACTGGGGTACTATGGGGCCGTAATATCTTGGTAATTCAGGCACAGACCAAGTGATTACATACTGCTTGGCAAAATGGCTGGAACATGGCCTTTGAATGCAGTTATTTCAACCAAACCCTGTGTGTTGAGATTCGGACGGCATACTCCCTCCTAAGAAGGGGTTAGTGTACGAAGACGTATGGGGGCTAAGGTCCAAAACCCCCTTTGATGCCTAAATGCCTTACTTTCGAACGGCAGAAAAGTTGAAATACCTGAATTATTATTACATATGTATTAGTAATTGACAGAAAGCTGGTATACGAACAATTTATGGTATAAATGACCAATGTTGACAACTCTTAACTAATTAAAATGACAAAACCCGCTTTTTCAACAATCTGTGCGGACAATGATGACTAACTGTAATATGTACTTTTGTATGGTATGCCTGGTACCCAATGTCACATGATGTTTCCGGTATATTACCTGGTTTCTACCATGTATTCGGACTTAGTATTCGACAGTAATCAAAGTATTCTGATTCTGCTGGTGTTTACAAGTCTAAAAATAAAGCCCTTGGACTGCATACAAAATCAGGCATCTCCATTATTGCTACGGGGCTCCGTTCATTCTCAGGCAAAAGGGTGGGCCCACGCATGTTCTGCGCGTAGCCTTATGCCAGCCCCGCTCCTAGCCTCGTAGGAGTATGTGCCTACATGTATGTACATATATACAGAGAACTATGGTTCAGGTAATACACCTAGAGTCGCGCATTAAACTGCTTGTTCAGGGAACATACGAGGAAGTGATCATTAAGCCCCGCAGATTTGAAACATTTCCAACGCCACTATAAAAGAAACCTTGCTAAAGGAGGGGTTTAAACTGACGCTGATGTCAGATTAATAGACACTGCTTGCCTAAAGATAGCGAAAAAATACCGAATACAAGCTTCCGGGGCTAGTGTAGCAAAATTGAGATTTACATGTCTAAGTAGGACGGATGACATTCAACATTAGAAGAAAACATGAGTGAGGTAAAAATAAATGAAAGCTAGCTGAAGTACATGGATCCAAGGATCTTGGGCACGTTATAACAAAAGCAGATAAAATAAACGGAAAAAAGAAAAACTGAAAAAGCACCCTTTAGACTAATCCTTACTAGTTCGCTGGTCGTGAGTAGACCCGAGGACAATAGTATACTGTCACATTTGGGCCCTTATACTGTTTGTAGGAATAAGAAATATATGTATGCGTTCCTAGCTCAGTGTCGAGCGAGTGTGAAGGACTGCGAGATTATTGATTAGCAATGGCCCCCAATAGTAAAACTATACTTAGCAGAAAACTCACAATCTAACCTGAAGGTCTTTTGGATACGAATCAGCAAGACTATCCCATCCCTGGCGACGGAAATATGTCGCTAGACCCTGTGCAACTGCCATGTCACTTTTCCCATAATGCCTAACTGGGATATACACCTGAGGCTCGGGATACGTCTTGCCCGGGCGGATTTTAATGTTGTAGAGGAAACCTGCGGTGCGGTGGGTCTTGTTTGGCAAGGGATCCTCATCCTTGTAGTCCGCAGCTATATCCAGCAAGAGAGGCCAAAGTTCACGAAGGATCTTGATACCAGCGACGGTAGCTTCGTCCTTGAGTCGACCCTCCAGGGTATAGACGTCGAGTACCTGGCGTAGGGAGGTGTGGGGTACTCGCAGGTAGAGCTTAATGCGCGAGTCCCGTGGGTCAACGCAGTCGAAGGCCACGGCTTCTGACTGCACTTCCGGGTGCGATGCCATGTACGCCTCAATCAGGCCTAGGGCTGGAGCAAGCGGGGCATCCACGCGGTCGAGCTTCAGAATAGAGTCGAAGATCAAGTGGCTTGGGGAAATACCCGTCTCGGCCGATTTGAGCAGTGGCATGATATAAGCCTGCATCGGGGCTTGGCCTGTGCGGAAACCAAAGGGAACATATTTTGAGTCTGGTGCTCATCGGATGGGAACTTGGCCAAGATGGCTGGCAGACTTTCCGGGCGACTAACAATTCTTGGGCAAAGTGCTGATACCAGACCAGGTTGACACCTAGCGGAACGTCATTCCCAAGTTTGCCCAGAAAGTCTTCGCTTGCTTGCCGGTTCGCAGGATCCCTTTCAGCCCCGGCCAGATCACAAATAGGCTCAAAGCCGAAGCGAACGGTAGCTTTGCCCGCATGGAAGTTGACACTGATCTCGAGGGGAGTGAAGTCATCGGTCATGAAAGAGTGCCAGTGGGGCCGACCATCCGGCTTGGGGGGAGTATGTATCGATAAATGAAGATCAAGTGCTGGTATTGATGAGCGATGTCATACTCGGATTTTCTCATAAGTTCCTGAATGGTTGGAGCCACCACTCCCCACCAGAAGCGCTGGTCTTCATTAGGAAACTGAAGTCCATCACTAAGAACGTGATATGGCGAGTTTTCAGAGGCCCTGTGTATCTCTTCGGCGGACACAATGGCTGCAGTCTCCTTGATGCTATGCAGTGTAAACGGTGACACCGTCTGTGGAGTGATAGACAGCATTTTGTTCTCTCGGTGGCTTTATTTACCCTTTTTAGTCGAGTCAAACTGAGGCTGATGACTGATCATGTTTTCACTTTTCTTTCTATCCTTCTGTGATATACTTGTTCAAGTATATGATTATATATACATGATTTACCCCGAAAGGCTACCAGCCGGGCCCTAGTCTCGGGGCCCGTTCAGTTAGTGAGACTTTCTCCGAAATTTTCATCCGAATCTTCAGGTCTGATCAGCTTATTGGGGGCTGTTGCCAGAAATCAGTTTGAATCCAGAACAAGGATAACTCGCTTAACAATAACGACACCAAGGAAGGCTGTGATGATCGTGTTCATCTTACGGGGTGAGGCTCTGGGCTGCCCGAGAATGAAACGCCGCGCTTTTGCGCCGATTCGAGGAGTCACTCTTATACAGAATCTCTTGTTTTCTAGCCTAAAAATTGGTGAAATTTTCGAAAGGGTATGTGAAAATTATATTTTCCACCACCACACACCAAGTCTTTCGGTCTCCTTAGTTAGCAGAATGTTGAACGAAGAGGAAATCGACCTGGTATCGCCGTTCCAGACCTGGGCTGATATACACCCAGAGTCCATTGCAATTGAAGATTGCACGCAGTCCGTCACAACCCCACCTAGAGGGCGGAATCCTCAGTGTAGGAGATCGTCACAGGGAAAGGCATACCTAAGTCCCAGAGGAATGACTGAGTCTCAAGGTTGCAGGCAACATCAGCGGGCTCCCTGTGCCGCATAAAGTCGCCAATCAGCATACTCAAAGTTTCAATGGTGTATTTAAAATGCAGGCCCAGTCAAACTCGGACATTGGGTCCTGTCCGGGGTGGTCGATCAGAACGGTGAGAAATCTAATAGGGACAACATGCAGAAGCTCACTTGTCGAGCAATCAATGGCCATCATCCGTCTGGCTCGTTTCAGCTGCTCCAATGATAGATGGAGCTGACCCACCCTGTCATTGAGTTCGTCCTCAAGCGATAATCCAATGTGCAAGATGTCGTCAATGAGGCGCTGGTAGCCGGCCTGAAACACAGTGCGTGCAATCTCAAAGAGCGGGGCTGAAGTGTTGTCTAGCATAACAGACATGGCTTATTACTGATACCACAAGTCCGAGGCTAGCGGAATATATTATAATGGGTTGTGGTAACGATGACCAGAGAAGATGAATCTCTAACTCGGAGGTTAGCAAGAGTGGATTGTCAAGAACTGTCTAGGCTGGAGGCCAATTTATGTTGTTTCTACGCTGCGCTTCCGACAACGGTGAGGTTATTATTGTTAGCGAAAAGGAAAAAAACGAATAAAAGACAAGTGGACAAAGACCAAAAGGGAGAAGCATAGAACAAGGAGATTTGGAAAATAAAGGCCTTGTTGACGGTTCTTTGTTACTCCGGCTAGGGATTTTAAACTAGACGGGGTGGGTGTAACAAAGTATTTGAGAACCGTTGAAGCAATATCGATAGATATGGTAATAACTGCGGCACAAGCTGGTGTATCCATAGACAACGATGCCCAAATGAGCTATATGTATTAGGAATAGATTTCAAAAGGACTTCGCAGCAAAATCAATAGTCAAATCGCGAACAAAGCACTAAAGATATTATTCCACCGAGGGTATCAAGGTAAGTCGTAATTCGTTGGCCTTCAAATCACGAGGCAAACACAAGAGCATCGTGAAAGGATTTATGTCACCAACACTGTGCTGAGTGCGAGGCACGATGCGTATGGGTGCATGACGAAGTATTGGTGTTAATGCCTGCTATGCAGAGGCTTGATGATTCGACGTCATTATCTAGACAGCGGAGCGACCCCAGCGGCGGCGGCGACTGTTCAGTATGTCAGTATCACTCGAGAATGACCGTATTATTCGAAGATGCGTATTGATCACTTACACTCCATCGGTGGTGTTTTGGCGAACGCGGAAGGTGAACCAGATCCCCTGGGGGCCTATTAGTAGTTATTCATGTGGATCAGGGAATCTCACCACATACCACGATAGCAGAAGTAAGCCAGATAATAGCAGAAAGGAAGCTGAAAGCCTCGGCTGCCTTCCATCGGCCACATGTCTGGTCCCCTCTAAAGTGCCAGGACCAGATGCTGCCGCAGGGCAAGCGGCGGATGGTGTCGACAAGGACACCAAAAGCAGCGAACCAAGCAAACGAAATGAGAATGTCCACTAGATTCCAGTAAGCGTTTGTCTAGATTCACGGGGTAGGATATCCAGCACGTACTAGGCCAGGAGAAGAATCCCGAAGAGAACGGGATCAACCATATGAGGCCAAGCAATATTGATAAGCCGGCAATTACTTCGGTATAGATCCATCGCGACTGGGGCCACCAGTCAACATCTGCACCACTGTGGTTAACCTCGGCAAGGTAGTGCCCGATAACACCTGCGACCACCTGGAAGAGAGTTAGATGCGATTTAACAGTTAGTGTAGATATGGGTTATTCACAGCTGCAAAGGCGATCTCCGCAACGCGGAGGATGATAGACACAAGACGTGAAATGACGGGCATTGTTGAGGTGTTGCCAAATCAATAAGCTGTTCGTTGAATAAATATGAAGAACGTTCTTGTGTACGGAGATAATGCGTTAAGCTTGTGTGAGAAGATGCAGCGTGGGATAAGAAGTATGGGCTGGGGAACACGAGAAGCTATATAACGTATCAGGTCGCACAAACAAAGAAAGTCTGAGAGGGAGCAACAGAGTGCTTTTAAAGCAAGGGACGACTATTAAAGCCCAATAAACCAGAAAAATAAATATTAATTAGCTAAGAACCCAAAACAAAGCACAACTTGCATTAAACGCGACCAATCGAGTCAGCCTAAGCCTCCTGGTGTCGTCAGATCAGTTCCGTATACAATTCTTTCCAACAAGCCGAGGTCACTATTGGTCTAAGTGTGTACTGCCCAACCGTTTTCTAGGCCTGGGTGAGTAAAAGATCGACTTTTCGTGGCGGACTGACCGCTGATGTGGACTGTGGCTGAATGCTCCTTAACGATCGGAGCAAGGAGTGGGCCTATGGGCTGTGAGGAATATGGGCGTACAGGTACTGCATAGCCCTGGAAGTATTCTGTTGCCTCCATATCGTCCCTGTCTTCCCCAGACCCGGCTTCCCCATGTTAAAAAAAAAGCCACGATGTGCTAACCTAGAATACGGGCTCTGTGCTGGATTGTGATATACTTCAGTGGCTTGCTCTTTGGGTGGCGAGTTGACTGTCGATCCCATGGACTATTGATGATAGCTCTGATTTGGTGCAGAATCGGTCTCCACTCAGGGCGATCCTTGTTGCTGTCTGACAGGTGCGTGGGTTTTCTAAACATACATTGTAGACTGCCGAGCTGCCGTGGACGGAGGAGATCCGGTTTGAAGCGAAGAGACCTTGCACACGTCTGACGACATTGACATCATCTTTAATTTGGGTCATCTGACTTGCTCCTCTCTCAGCCCTATGACGTGGGGCCCACGGAGTCTTGCTTGACAAGCTTGATTTTGTTTATTTTACTCATATCTTTATGAGGATATTGAGTTATTTCGCATTGTGTTGATTATAAAACCATTTTCACTATTACTACATAGTAGTATTTGACGTCTGACAAGTGGAGGTATAGCCGAACTAGGCAGACATAGCAAAACATCAAAATGTACAGAGTACATCCAGGAAGAACCCAGAAGCATGCGAGTGATGCAAAAGTTTTTAACTCGAGCTAATAGTGGGCCTATGATACTATGAATAGCAACGACCACAAGCACAAGTGTATATCCACTTTGGTAAAGCCAAGAGAAAGGATCAAATTCGAAATAATGCTGCCTACAACGTCCCCAAAAAAAAAAAAAAATTACATACTGATGCATAATAATGACCTCCCCTCCGCAACACCTAAATCAAAATAAAAGTATCAAATATTACAATAGTTTCGACAAGACAAGAAGTCTACGTATTCTTCCGATCCAAGTGCCATGCCATCACATCACGGAATATCCCCTTGGAACCAGTCTCGATAGTATCGCCATGGCAAGGAATCAAACGATCAAAGTCCCATTGATCAATCCTTCTCATGGACTCATCGAACGCCGCCCGATCTTGTTTGGAGAGAATATACCATGCAAACCGTCTGTGCCATGTAGCTGGCGGCTTGGTGGATAACAGCGGCATGATAAGCCTCGTAAGGAAATTAGTCTCCGTTTCGGGGGTCTTGGAATACTGCTCCTTAGAGGGCAGGTTGAAGAGCAGATCCGCCTCAATAACCGTGCCCGTGGGCTTATGTAGAAACACCAGCTCGCGCGACCCGTGGCCAGACACATACTCGCTTTCAAACTCAGCATCGAACTCCTTCGATATCGACCGCGGCAGTTTATCGTCCTTCTTGAATACATGCTCAAACGGGGTGTCCTGGAACTCCGGGTTCGATTGTCGCTTCTCATACAGACCCTCAGGCGCCAGGATCACTGCTTGTGGGTATGCGTTCTTCCACGGGGTGATATTGAGGTGGTGTTCGATATCTGGCGCCGTGATGTATTTGACGTTTCCACCGAGGGATTCGACTGTCTCGCGGACTTCGGGCGTTAGGCTAACGGGTGAGAATACTGCGAGGGAACCAGTAGCAAGCTTGACTGTCACATGCAAGGAGTGTTAGCGCAAGATCTTAAACAAGGGGCCCCCGTGGGCTTGACATGGCTCCACATCATTCTCTGTCCTCTGAGGTATTATGCGCCTGGTAGGTTTGGCTCTGTAAGGGTTGGCACTAACCCAGCGTCCCTCGTCCGCCGAACTGCAGGTGTCCAAACCGTGCGAATGGCAGACTCATGGTCACAATTTCTGGCGTCACATGGCGGATTACCATGGTCGCAGAAGGGTTGGTTGGAAAGAGCTGTGGCATTTTGACGCCTTTCCTTTTTTTTTTTTGGCTTTGTTTGTGCTTAGAGTTCTCGAGTTGCGCTCCCTGGCGTTGGACGGCTCAGTTGATGGTGTCTTGCAGGTATAGGTATATTGTAAATCTCACAGCAGCAGAGAAGAGAAAAGCTGAATTGTAAGAGGTTTAAAAAGTTCCTCGGGGAGAAAGAAAGTGGCCAGACAAGCTTATAATGACGTAGAAGCTTATCAGCCACTCCACTTTGGATCGAGCCTGGTCGGATTTATCATCGCTTGGAAAGACCTCGGTAACTACCTGATCTACTTTTATACATACATGGGTTATGTGCATTAAAAGAGACTATCCAAGTAGCTTATTGTTTGAGAATTCTTCGATTTTGTGCTTTATAAGCGTTCATACTCCAGATTATGTGCTGGATATTATAGAACGCAACTGGCATATTCACATTACGAAGCTAAATTATTAAACTGACCTAATGCAAGCCAAAAGATCAAGGGGTATATATCTTGCAAAACACATACTGACTCGTGGAATCACGTCTTCGGAAGAAGCTTAGGCATACCAACTTAGCCCAGTCTCTTGCTCTTGCTCTTCGCGGTGGGGGATGATTGAGTCTTTAATCTTGAACACATCGATAATTTCGGACCACGTATCGTGGTCCAGGCTAAAGACCGCCTGATGTTTCTGCACGCCCTTTTTTTGGGCTTCACTAGGGGCGAATGGCGCAGCCGCATCTGTCAAACTATTAGTGCTTCATCAACCAGTCATGTTGAAATACTCACGCAGGGTCGGCAAGTCGCGACTATCTGTTGATACACCCACTGTGCCGTCTCGGACGAGAAAGCTCACGTAGAACAAGTTTTCCACGCTTTGCCCGAAAGATTTCGGGTTGATACAAAAGCGAAACAAGGGAATTCCACCGTCGTCTGCCACGCTGTGCTTATCCATGACCTGTTGCACCTTCTCCGGGGTAAGATTTGCTTCGCCATGAAGCTCTGTCTCGGCAGCTTCCTGACTTTTACGCTGGTTATTGGCAAGCAGCTTGTTGATCTCGGAACAAATCTGGGTCAGATTCGTGCTGTCCTGCTGGCCAAGATCATGTTGCGCCATTTCTCGGGGCGCCACGGCTTGTGTCGGATCGATACGCTCCGCTACTCTTCGCTGTGTCTGTTGCCGCGTACGCTTCTGTACTGACAGCGGTCCCAGCAACCATCCAGAGACGGCCGGACGAGCATTGTTAGGAAAGCAGGCCGATCGGCCAAGTGTGTCCCAGTTCATCGCATCGCCGTCATCTTCATCACTAGCATCGGGATCTCTTTGGCTTCTACCAGGGCGCGCTCGGCGTCCCTGTGTCCCGTTTGTTGAAGCCGTCGCATTGTTCGGGCCGCGACGCATGAACGATACACACTTGGAGACAAACTCGTCTACATCAATACCGGCAGAGGTGTCACCGAGGGCGAGCTGGGTGGCTTTCTTGTGCGTTAAGTCGGCGGTATTGACTAGGATGCGCGAATCGAGGGTAGCATCGGCGGTCTGCTTCACCTTGGCGTAGAATTGATTTGCTTGTTCGACAATATTGAGGATACCATCATTTCCAGGCTGCATGAGCTCACCGCGCGTGTCTTTGTGAAGCTGTTAGAGCACTACATTCAAGCCTCGAGTCCAGACAAAGCAACTTACCGTTCAGTTCCCTACCCAGATCTCGAAGTCCTCTCCGTACACTTCTCCGTTCTTCGGGGTCCTGATCAGGGTCATAGTATCGTGTGTCGCTACTAGTTCGTTGAGATGATGCTTGCGACTGCGCAGATCGAGCCGACTGAGCAGACCGAGAAGATTGGGCGGATTGGGTAGGCTGGGCATTCGAGGGGCGGTCGGCTAGTCGCTGTCGTTTACTCTGTGAACGCGGTGCCATCACAGCGGTACTTCTCTTATTGATACCTTGATAGCGATTTTCTTTATCAGAAGTAAATGCGTCTGGCGATAATGTAGATGGTACTGGGCGGGGACCTGGGGTGTTTGCTTCGTCCAGGTGTGTGTGAATGAGACGTGCCATCCTCGATCAACACTCGTTAGTGCGATATGAGATGCAGGTTGTAACAAAGAAAATTCAACAAAGAAAAAAGGGGCAAAAATCGCGTACGGCTACACACAGTAGCCAAATTTAGACAAAGAGTATAACTCGAAATACACCGGTCCTTGAAAAAAAAAAAAAAAAAACCAAAATATGTGTGGCTACATTTAATGATCGCGAATGCTTCGTCGCGTCGCGTGGAGCTTGCACGTGACCTCCCCGCGTCAGTTGCTTATCAGCCATGACGCAGCGACCTGTGGCACTCTCCAGACGGGGAACAGAGATGGAAGCCTTCACCTTTGCCGTGACCACTCAAGTGGACATACCTATACGCATCAAGATGTATGTTCTCCACTTCTGATAATCGAGGCTTTTCTCTCATTGACGCATCCACAGTGGCTCGTTAGAGGGGAAGCAGAAACCGATCCCATGCACGGTGCTTGATGAAAATGCAGAGCTACGGCATATTGGCTCTATACAAGACCCTACCTCCGATCTCTATGTGACCGTTCAGATATGGTCGGAGTCAAAGCCATTGGGCGTGCCGATGAAGACCAAATACAAGGCTTTCAAAACCACTCGAGTATGGAATGAATGGCTGGAGATGCCAATGTCCATCAAAGACGCCGAGCGTAATGCTCAGCTAGCAATCACCATCGTTGATATGTCTCCACTCGCTCCCGATAGGATTACGCACATCCCATTCGGTGGAACTACAATCGCCTTGTTTGACGAAGATGGAAAATTAAAGATGGGCAGACAAAAGTGCAAGGTTTATTTACATAAGGACGCAGACGGCTCTGCTACAACCTCTACTCCATCCGTTCTCCCACCTAAGCGTCGTAAACCGAATACCCGGGATCCTTCACAGCAGTCACCCGAAGAGGCGGAACTAGAACGGGTCGAAGTCTTGATCAAGAAGCACGAAATGGGCGAGATCCCACGTGTTGACTGGATGGATCAATTGCTCTTTCGCGAGTTAGAGAAACTGAAGACAAATGCAGATGAAGCGGCTCAAAAGCGCGCTCTTGAACTTGACGCAGCCCTACAAAAAGCTCCGAAACACGGCAAATATCAGGATGATAGCTCTGACGAAGAGAACCTCGAAGATGAGTATTTCAACCTCTATGTTGAATTTCCACGATTTGATCATCCCATTGTGTGGGCGGATCACGAGTATCCTCCTCCGCCCATTTCCTCTTGGCCTCAAAATGCACCTCCCCACCCCAATGCTACTCTTAAGCCAGTTCCAGAGGTACAATTTGGCCCTGGAATTTCGCACGCCGATCCCCATAATATCATTCAAATCTACGATCCAGAAGTTGGCCAGATTGGAAACCCGTGTGAGGACAAGCACCGGCGTTTGATCCGAAGCCATCGAACCGGCATCATGGATCGTGACCTGAAGCCCAACCCGAAGATCAGGGATGATCTCAATATGATTATTTCCTACGAACCGACACAAGACCTCACTGCTGAAGAGAAGGATCTTGTGTGGCGCTTCAGGTATCATCTCACGCGGGAGAAGAAGGCATTGACAAAATTCGTCAAATCAGTCAACTGGCGGGATGTTGGAGAATCACGGCAAGCAGTTGAAATGTTCCCTAAATGGACTGAGATTGACGTCGATGATGCTCTGGAGATCCTGGGTCCTACCTTTGATAATCCCGCGGTCCGTTCATATGCTGTGGAAACACTGCGGAAGGCAGACGATGAGGAGTTGCTTCTATATCTTCTTCAATTGGTTCAGGCTCTGAAATATGATGCAACTCCGAATAACCAACCTGATGCAGCTCCGCAGGAGTCCTCGCTTGCACATTTCTTGATTTCGCGTGCAGCTAATAACTTCAAACTTGGCAACTACCTACACTGGTATCTCATGGTCGAATTCGATGATGCCGATGCAATCCAGCGTCGGCTATTTGCGCGGGTTGAATACTACTTCATGATTGAACTGGAGAAGCTTCATCCCGAGCATAAAAAGACACTATTGCACCAAGGTGAAATGGTGGCCGTGCTCTCCAAAATAGCCAAGGACGTACGCTTCGCGCGTGAAAACAGAGTTGGCAAGATTGAGATGCTGAAAAAGTATCTCCGTGACCCTGATAACGACCTGATAAACATAGATCCACCACTTCCCTTACCTTTAAATCCCGATGTTTCAGTCGTTGGACTATACCCCGAGGAATCGAACGTCTTCAAGTCAACTCTTTCCCCTTTGCTTATCACGTTCAAGACTTCTGAAGGTCGCCGCTATCCGATGCTGTTCAAAGTCGGTGATGATCTTCGCCAAGACCAATTGGTTATCCAGATCATCATCTTGATGGATCGCCTTTTGCAGAAGGAAAACCTTGATCTCAAACTAACTCCTTATCGAATTCTTGCCACCAGCGCAACGGCCGGCGCTGTGCAATTCATCCCTTCGATTTCTCTCTCCGCGGCGTCAGCCAAGTACAAATCCATTCTCGCTTATCTACAAGCCAACAACCCAGATGACAATGAGCCTCTCGGCGTCCGCAAAGAAACAATGGATACATACATCAAATCATGTGCAGGATATTGCGTCATCACATACCTCCTCGGCGTTGGTGACCGGCATCTTGAAAATCTGCTTTTAGCGCCAGATGGCCACTTCTTCCACGCCGACTTCGGCTTCATCCTCGGTCGTGATCCGAAGCCTTTTGCACCCATGATGAAACTTTGCAAGGAAATGGTCGAAGGCATGGGCGGCACAACTTCGCCTCACTATCTTCAATTCAAGCAATACTGCTACACCGCTTACACCACGCTGCGGAAATCCGCGAATCTGATTCTTAACCTCTTCAGTTTGATGGTGGATGCTAATATCCCTGATATTCGAGTGGAGCCTGACAAAGCCGTCTTGAAAGTGAAGGAGCGCTTCCATCTTGAAATGACCGAGGAAGAAGCTATCCGTCACTTTGAGCAACTCATTGCAGACAGCGTCAATGCTATCTTCGGTGTTGTGATTGATCGCTTGCACGATTTCGTACAGGGCTGGCGGGCATAAGGTCTCTTCATTTTGAGATTTTGTGCATTCTTGGATGTGTATTTCAAACTCCAAAGGAATTTCCATGCTGATCCTGCATACACTTTATTTATCTTTGTTTTGGTTCCGGATTGCAGACATTCAGGCGTTTTGGGAATGATGCTATGGGATTGGAATTTCGCTTCTGTTTTCATAAAGCTCGGCGCAATATGATGGGTTTATAAAAATCAGGATACCCAACCTATATTATTTCGTCTGCATAGCAATGATTTCTTGAAGCTTTAGTATAACACAGGTGCCCACCCAAACCCCTATAGTAAATGCGATATTTTACAACCTTATATCTCAGCAACCATGTTGTTGTTTGATTTTATTGTCATCCGATAGCTATCGATAAGAATTTTAAACACTATAGATCAGTTTAAAGAAAATCGAAAAGCTGCATTATCATGGTATTGAAAAATTACGTTGCTCAAAGCCAGAAATATATATATCTCAATCACAACGTGGTAAAGATTTTCCAACGTCCTTACAGAGGCTAGATATCACCTAGAAAGCATTAATATATAGGGAAGTTTCTACATAGTATGCTGTTGTTGAGATATCGAGCTGTAATTTCTCGCATTTACTATGGTGTTTTAGGGTGGCCTACTCGCTTGTGAAATACGTTAACCTTTGATGTATATCTAATCAGGCCAAGCCTCCGGTGAACCACAGGGTGGAATATTCGTTAAATTCAAGTGCCATATAATAAATATATATTTCTAGTTTATGACGATTTTTTTCATAGTTCCCCTTAGTCATTTCCCTTGGTCTCCGGCTGTTGTCCATATTTATCGGGCTAAGGCTAAAGACGCGTGACCTCGGATTAAGAACTGCAAGAGAGTGGATTTTTATGGCACGAGTGTCCGTCGTTGATAGGGGTATGACGAATTACGAAGTGAAGTCTTCTTGATCTTGACTGCGCATTATCCTGTTTCTCTATAGATGAAAAGTATATTATAAGAACCATACTTGAAATTTTGGACCTCAAAAGTAAAAGCTGCCAAGTTTTGGGCTTAGCGAGGTTCGTCTAGTCCACAACTGGAATTTTTATTTTGGAGCTCGGTAGTTGGTACAAGGCCTTAAAGTTGGTGGAACGGTTTGTTAAATGTTAAAATAAGGTTTAACACAGGGTTGGAACCATGGATGGCTCCTATGCTTATTCCCGACTTCATAAGACGTCCACGGGACGCCTAAAGGTATAGCACGTATCTTTAGCATATTTTACTCACATCCCCTGATGTACCGATAGAAGCACCATACTTTAGAAAGCGACCAGGCATTTGAACCCTGCTAATGACTCTGTATCTACTGCAGTCAAGACAGTGGAGCTGTCTCTTTTTGTTTAGCGTATCTCCACCCCCTACGATGGATCTCGGGATCGTGAAGATATACAATCCCCTTTTTCCTCCTCTTGGTGAGCGCGTAGAGAATCATCAGACAAAGACCACGGAAAATAAAGTCAAAATTGCGAGACTGCACAAAAGGCCAGTTTTCTATAAAATTAATAGCCAAAATCAATTAAGGGTGTTTGGACAACGTTGGCTAGGAGATTATTTACCCACGCGCCATACATAATATGCCTTATCTTCTCCGTATTAGGCTGTGAATTTCTTACTTCATTATTGTATCGGACTACGTATTATACCCGATGGAGCCCGGTCAGACGATAAAAGAAAAATTCAAAAATAAAATGTTGGGAGGGATCCGTTTCTCGTTCCTGCATCTGTTTTTCCCTTTTTTCCCCCTCCACTTATCCACAAAGAATGCACGGGGATTTACTTCCTAGCTTTATAGTGTGGAGCTTCTATGACTACTTGATACACAATAATAGCGGAGAATTTAGAAAGGGTTCTGTGCTATATACCACATTTACCTGCCTTGCTACCTGACATACTGATATCTCCCCCTAGATATCTATGTAGGCAAATAATCAAGAAGAAACGAGGGACTAGGAAAGTGGACAGATATTTATGGATAGTTTTCGATTTGCCAGGGCTCCTTAATCAATAGGCGTGGAGAGTACACAGTCTAAGAACAGAATCACGCCCCGGAAATACTGGCTGTGTTTGGTGTAAGATTCCGATACAAAAGATACCTGTATGAATTACTGGGTGGGACCGCATAGGGTGCTGGTGGGCGATAAGACTCTGGGGGTGATGTGTGTCGGGACACGCGGCAGAAGAAAAATCTCGGATACTACATATAGGATTAAGGAGCAAAAGACAGGTGAAAAACGGATGGAGTCGAAATAGAAACTCGAGATACGTTGAATGGGGCTAGAGAGGAGATGGGGAGAAGTGAAGTGTAGGGTAAGAAAATAAAAGAGCGGACAAGGGTAAATAAAAAATTTGTACGGAGAACGGCCGAATGATCTGGAAGGGATCTTCGGGATTCGTATGCATGATTTAGAGATTTAATAATTTAGGTGAAATGGTTCAATGGTCTAATGGTCTAATGATTTGTTATTTATTATTTATTTAATAATTTAGTTATTTACTATTACAGAGCACAAGCTTGGTCAGTTCGTGCGATTCTTTTCACCGTTTAGGAGCTTGTTAGATTGGTGCGAGCTTGGCGTCTACAAAAGCCGTTGAAGCTGGATTGGACGATGTACTGCACAGACAACCAATAATCTTTGGATGGAATCTGAGACGCAGAGGCCAACAATACGACAGGCTGTGACAACCCTGCCCCTCCCATCCCATAAGGTCTTAAGCCCGGTCCCCAATGCCGAATCGAACCTAGCCCGTGGGTGGCCTAAACCTTGAAATTGTATGCATGGGTGTGTCAGTGTGTAGTTCACCACTCCGTAGTGAGAACTATATGAAACTTTTCCACCCCTTCTCCACTACTTAGCATTTGGTAAATGCTTCTGCCTAGTCCACACCACACCTCTCCAAGAATTTACGGTACGATGCTCACATATAGATATGGAGACAACTTCCAAGTTGATAGGGAGGGAACATATTAATGTTTAACGTATGTAGATACATACATCTAGTGATGTAATTTACCAAGACACGGCCTAGACACACCGAATATACCGAATACATCCAAACTCCTCCTAGGAATAGTTATAGCACGGAGGATAAATGCTCAGCCACACATTCGCCACAACCCGCAGCAACCCCTTCATAATGCGGGTGATGACCAAGTATCGAGGGATCATATGCCCTTGTACTATCCTTTACCATACAATAGGGCCCCGCCGATCTCCCGTGACTCCCTCTGGAGAAGGTAGAAGTTCCCTTAGGGCGCACGTAGTGAAGTTCTTCACGGGTAGCCGTCGGACAGAGCTCCTTTCCCTCTCCACCTTATCTCCCCAGGGCTACATCTTGTACATACATATTCCGTCCGATGGTTGTTGTTGTTTTCACTTCGGGTAAATATACCATACACTGATCAATATCTGACTAGAAGAAGCTAAGAGAATCCCCGAGGTCCCAAAAAAATTGTAGATCAAAATCCACATCTAGAATCTACTATGTTCTTGCACATAACCACATTGTCTTTATCTTTTGGGGGTACTCCTTTGAACCCAGAGTAGCCTTCATTGGACGGGGTTTGGTGGAGCCCGTATACGCAATTTAAAATAAACAAGATAAAAAAGACAAAAAAGACAAAAAAGATAAAAAAAGATAAAAAAAGATAAAAAAAAGATAAAAAAAAGATAAAAAAGAAAATGAGAAAATAAGAAAATAAGAAAATAAATAAATAAACTGGGGATGGAGTGGAGCTTATACGGAGTACTGGTGCTTATGTAGTCATAAGTAGTTAGTTACAGTCCGGCTTCCACTTCTTCGCGTTCGCAATTGCTTTTTGGCTCCAGCGGGGCGGATCAGGGCCCGAGGGTTTTCGCCTGTAATGGTTGTAATGGTTTTAATTGCTTGTTATATCTCCCCACAGCCTCTTCTTCCACGGCGTTACAACCTTTTACAGCAATTTGTCCGCTCGGATTTTGTCTCCCGATTGGCTATTTCGGTTTTCCGTATTTTTCTAATTCCCTTTTCATTGCATTAAGCTAGATTACCCGACAGTCTGGGTACCGGCGGGCGATCATCAAAAAGCAATCCTCGGGGCGATCGTGATCTATGCCAATTGAGAACCCATTAATATCCACTATTCGTTGTACCTTTGTTCAGATTTTGCCAACACCGTTACCCCGTTCTTGTATGATGGAATTACAGTCTAAGTCTGTCACAATCACCTTGGTGACATATCTACATACACCCGTGCCCTGTGCAGATCTATCCTGTCACCTTCGCTGTTTCTCTTCATATTCGAATAAAATCTGGGCTGGCCATAAATATTTCATCTTCCCCCCTCCTCTTCCCCAGTATGAAAATACTCAAACCCAATCCACGCTCCTTTAATCGAAATCCCTCCCCTTACCCATCTTTACTTCTATCTTTACTTCTGTCTCTCCTACCGTTGGTAGTTAATCATGCCGCGGTCGCTAGACGACATCAACCTGGATGACCCGATCCTGGATCATCTCTTCGAGTTTGATTTGACTACTGTTGGTTCCATTTATCCTGAACCGTTCCGTGCTCATCGGTCACACGCTGTGGCAGATACATCCATGGCTCCTGCATCCCAACCTAGATACAATCCGTATGAGGAATCGCTGAGGCCGCTTGGTGGAAATTTTGCGCCTACACCTCCGCCGACCCATCGCCGCCCGAATCAGAACATACAGTATCATACTGTCAGCGGCAATGACCCTCGGGCCCTAGTTATACCTTTTCACGGCTCTGCGGATCATTTCAGTCGTACTGCCCCTCTCGCGGCTTCTCCGTTGCCATACCCCCAACAAAACCAGAACACCGCGCAGTATTTTACTGTCAACAACAACGATGCCCAGACCCCAGTTACAGCGTTTGATATCCCCGGTGATAGCCTCACTTGTATCGCCTCTCCCGTGCCTTCTCCGCTTGGACAGGTACAACCTCAGCAGCCGCCTTCCCTCTCAGAGGTCATTGCCCTGGGAGCCATAGGCAATGATGTTACCAATGGCAAAGCGCCCCGTAGTCCTGACAACGGACTTGAACAAGCGTGAGCCATCCAGTCCCAGTCTAACGAGGAAGAAGAGTGAGCGGCTTACTGACCAATATTCAACTATTCCAGTAACCCAGACAATATTATTCGATGTGACTGGCCGGGCTGCTCGTACCGTGGCACTTTCACAAAGAAGGGATCTCTGAAGCGCCATCGCAATGAACAGCATACTTCCCCGCGCTCATTCCCTTGCCAATCATGTGAAAATGCCTATTCCAGAAAGTCTCATTTGACCGACCACCAGCTGAAGGCCCACGGAATACGGACTTGAGTTCAATGGATATGGGTTTGGAATTTGGAAATTGGAGCATTGAGGTCTATATTAGAGATAGAACCTAGGTTTACATGAGCGGGCGCTATAATCGGGTTTGTCTACGGAAACGGCGCAGCTATAGGACTGGGAATTATTGTTTCCAGCAGGAGCATGGGATATGCATGGAATGTTTGATGTTTGGATATATGGGTTCATGGGATATATGTGATACATAGGAAGATGTACGGGTGATGCACGTCACATTAAGAGATCTACCTTAAACTGGCTAAGCCCTACCCCATAATTGGGGGTTGTTTCACACCTCATCTTGCCGAAATAGAGAACTTGTTATACGTTCTATCGTATGTCCTTGTATAAAAACACTTTAGCGCGGTGTTCGAGAGAAATACATGGTATGTACACGTTCTGATACTATCGTGGGGTAGTGAAAGTACGGCGAGGAAACAAGGATCTTTTAGGGACAGGGAGGCGAAATGTCTGCTGGTGGAGTTCCTTGATTGATTCAGGCGGGGAACAAACCTTGAAATACAAGGTTGAATGGGTCTCTAAATATTATAGGCTATACCTTGTAGACTTACTAGGATTTATACAAGAATCTAGTACAAAAGATACCTGACTTGATCACTCTAGGGGTGGATAACACTGGCTCCGGGGCGTGGTTAGCGGCGCATTGGGAGATACGGTGGATCAAAAGAAAGGGGAAAAAAATCACCCCCCAGCATACAGTTGGCGAGACAACGAGGGGAAGAGGTCCGAGTCCACAGATAGATCGTTCGGACCCCTCGACTTTTCATTCGCTTGAAAATGACATCTGGCATGCGCAATCTCTCAGAATCCCGACGCGTTAGGTTAAATTTCTAAATGGATCCGATAGGACAAAACCTCGGGGATTTCGACTGAACTACAGCTATTATAGTAGTTTAAAAGCAGTCCGATTGAAAATCTGAGGATCTCCAACTGGGATTTCGGGACTTTCTTGGGAACATAGTAAGTCATAGTTTAATGTGAAGAAAAAGCCCTGAAGAAAGCACTGGGAATGGTATCTTACTAATACAAGCATAAATTCGAGTATTCCAAGATTGGAAGTAGCCTTGAAATGTGGAAATTGCTTGGTGATTTCACCCAATTTTCACCTAAGTACGCGTAGAGTCGAGAACCGCCCAGGCGCTATTAGCCCGAATTCCAACCAACGTGTTAACGGGTACCTGCTTCCGAATTTAGGTGTCTATTATTATTGTATATCTAGTGTTTAACATCTGAAACGCTCCTTTCTACACCGCTTGGCTTTTGGTGGGTCTTTGGAGGCTGAAATCCGGCGACGGGGGTAGATCCCCCGTTGCGCTAGCTAAAGCATCGGGATATAAACGGAAGGATTGAACTATTGGTCTTCGTTAAACGGATAGCCCCTAGGAATAATGCCTTTGATTTCGTTCTCGTCATATTCATCTGCTGAGGATAGTATGTATTTTTAGCAGCCTTCCCTAGTTGGGTCCAAATATGCAAGAAAAAAGCAGGAACAATCCGAAAGGGAAATGGACACGAAGATATATTAGAAAATAATCAAAATCGAGGGAATCTATCCCCGTTCCTAACTCCGATGTCTTTTCTTTCCGCTACCTATGCACAGCACACCCGCGTTGTGGTGGTCGCTTTATCCAAAATGTTAATAGGTAATAGGAGTTAGTAGGGTCATCAGGTGTGTAGTCTAGTCCATATTACCTTTAGAGTAATATTCCGTATCCCTAACTCATATCATATGTGTATGAAAGTGCTAGGTTTATACGCTAGCTTGTCCTCTCAGTTTTCAAATTGCATGCATATTACAAGAAAATAATCTGGAGTCGCACGTTCTCATGGCCCCCAACAGCCACCCCAAACCTTCCGAGCTAGACCTTGGGGAAAAAAAAACCGAAATAAATTATTACGAAAAAAATGGCAAAAAGGAGAAGAAAATGAAATTGAGAAAGCTAGTCTCCACCCGTCCCTGTCTCTGCCCTTAGCGACGGCGCACACATGTGGCTCCCGAATGATTCGTGCGTCTAATAAACCGGCCGTATGCACCTCTTCCGACATGTACGAGGGCCACATGTCGATCTGTTTTTTCACCTCTTTTTTTTTCTATTGATATTTTGGTGAAATTCTGAACCACTTCGACTGAAATAAATACCAAGGTATTTCTCTTCCCCATGATGTTACAGAAATCTAACCCATTTCCCTTCCTTTCCTTCGTGCTACTTGCCTCTATCCTTCGATTGAGAGTTGAAGATACCATGCTCGTCACATAATATGGACCCGTATACGTTTGAATTTCTTCCCCAGCAGGAAGAGAGCATTCCCGATTCCATTTATCCCCAACCAGCGCTTGTTCGTCCTGGTGATGCCTCCACGTGGGCTTCTTCTTCTCCGTGGGTGTATTACCAGCCGGATTTTGTGGATGGAAACAATTCACAGTATCTTGCCGTCAACAACGGCAACAACGACGCTCAGGCGGTACCCACGGCATCTTTCGGCCCCGCGAGCCATACTACGAACACCACCCCTCTCGTGGCTCCTTTCACGCAGGAACCAAATTGGCAGGAGCCTCTTGAACCCGAAGGCATAGACAATAGCGTCAACAGCGTCAACGGTGACGAAAATCCCGATGCCCATCGTCAGGGACGTGAACAAAAGTGAGTTATCAAACTCGCTGTCTCGTACGGAGAAAAAGAGTCACTAGTTTACTAAGAATATCCAACTATTGTAGTAATCCAGACACCATTATTCGATGTACTCGGTCCGGCTGCACATCTACCTTCACGGTCAAAAGATCGCTGACTCGCCATGTTAAGGAAAGGCACCTTTTCCCGGGTTCATTCCGCTGTATAATTTGTAAAAGGCCCTTGAGCCGAAAGGCCAACCTAAAGAACCACATGATCAGAATCCATGGGGTGCAAGCTTGAGGTTTTAAGACCATTTTACTAGGATGGTTGATATCGAACCACGGTTTCTATTCACTGGCGCCTATGGTTGGAAAAGTTTATGGGAACAGCATTGCGATTGGGTGGGGTTATGGAATGTATGAGATTATGGGATGTATGGGATTATGGGATATGGAATATGGGATGTATGGGATTATGGGATATGGAATATGGGATATGGAATATGGGATATGGAATATGGGATATGGAATATGGGATATGGAATATGGGATATGGAATATGGGATATGGAATATGGGATATGGGATTTATGGGATATGGGTTAATGTACAATAGATAAGGCTTAGGTAATATGTAACATTTAATTGATATCTCTAAGGTTTTGTTTAATTTCCATAACCCGTAGAGAACAGACAAAAGTCATCCGACAGAAACCTGAGCCGGAGCTGCCAACATACTCAATAGTACAGTAGTCAGATGATCAATCTACGCCAGGTGAGATGGGCAATTTGACTAGAGTCCGTTGCAGGAAGTCCCAAAAAGTGTCCACTTTGTGGAGCATCTAGAGAGACTTTTGAGTGGATGTTGTTAAGCCTAGCGCTTGCGGAGGAAGGGCTTCCACCAACGCCGCAGGCCAAGCGGACGACGTTCCCAAGGCGAGCGAAAACGCCACCTTAATTATTCGTGGATGATCTTTTAAAAAGAACAACTCAAATGAAGTCATTTTCTTGTTAATCTTGTCCAGAGTACATTTATAGCTGCTAATTTAGGCTTCTGTGCGCCCTAAAGAGATGTATGCTATCTCAGGTGCCATAGGGTAGGCGGCACTAAGCAGACTCTTTACCTTATGAAGGCACAATATATCAGTCCGAAGAGGCTTATAAAGCCCTAGCCATCATAGTTAATGTACATTGTTGCGTTGCAACCATATCGACATGATTCATGTCGACGTAATGTTCACCGCCCGCCCTTCCGCCTTGGACATTTTGACGTGTTTTTTTGTTGCGGACCAGCTATTTTATTTCTTCGATCATCCAGTCTATCTAAACCGATCGTCAACTGCTCCGATTAAGATGAATCGTATTTCACCGGATTGAACAACAGTCTCCCTTCAACGAGCTTCAATGGCCCAGTTCGTTCCGCGCAATGCATTCCCCCATTATGGGGCCATCCCAAGGTCCTATTTCTTAGGACACCATAGGGCTGGTCTGACCAAGATGAAGAGCATGCTCTCCACTATCGACTATGTTGTTGAGTGTCGTGACTACCGAGCCCCCGTGACCTCGATCAACCCGATGTTCGAGGAAGCTTTAGGAAAGACGCGCCGACTGGTTGTCTACACTAAAAGAGATCTGGGAAGCATTCCCAAATCATCTGCCCAGAAAATAGTAAGCATTTTTTTCTCTACCATGGAGTCAGATAGTTGGCCGTTGTTGGATATCAGCTAACACAGCCGCAGACAGAACGCAAATTGCAAAGTTTTGACCCAAAGAGCGCCGTGTTCTTTACCAGCTCATCCTCACGTCCAGATGTCAGCCAGATCATCAAACACCTTCGAACCGATGCTGAAGCTCCCGATAAGTTAGTAGGTTGTCGAGTGTTGGTTGTCGGAATGCCCAATGTCGGCAAGTCAACACTGATCAACAACCTACGCAACTCAGGCACGGGTAAAGCCAAGGCTTTGAAAACCGGACAACAGCCCGGTATCACACGCAAGATAGCCACGCAGGTGAAAATAATTGACCGCGAAAACGGGTCACATGTCTACGTTTTGGACACACCGGGAGTGTTCATGCCGTATGTCCCGGAGGCGGAGAATATGCTCAAGCTAGCTCTCTGTGGCTGTGTGAAGGACAATGTCATTTCAGCGATCACTCTCGCAGACTATTTGTTGTATCATATAAACTTGAATGATCCGACAGTATACAAGCGCTGGTCAGAACCGACGAATGACGTGGTTCCGTTAATTGAAAAATTTGCGCGCCAAACTGGTCTGCTGGCAAAAGGTGGGGTGCCAATGATGGATGGAGCCGCACTTCTTTTTATACAGAAGTGGAGGCAAGGAGAGCTTGGTCGATTTTTGGTGGATGACCTAGAAGCAGAGCAAGAACGACGGGAAGATCCTACACAAACACCACGCATGAGCATGACGCAGGCCTTGAAAGTGGAAAGGACGACTCGAAAGAACAAACCGGATGCAACTAGTGATCTGTAACATACTGTATATACAATGAATCTGCCTTGGGAATATTGGTGAATATTCTGGAAATAATAATCAAGTGATGTCATTACGAACAAACGGAGGATGATGCTTGAAATTTGAAGATTTTGCAGAAGCACCTGCACCTGTAACGCCCAACCCAAGCAAAGGACAGAAATGGAAGCAATGAATCTTGGACGCAATATCTAAATCAAGAGATCTTGTCCAGAAGGCGGCGGCGCCGCCTATCCACGAGCTCCTCTTGGACCTCATCCAGCGTCGGGAGTCTCCATTCCACTCCGTCGCCCGCATCACCAGGTAGAGATTGCCAGCCATCTTCGACATCATCCTCTCCTTGATGACGCAGATGTTCAACAGACTCTTTCTCCTTCTGCTTCTCATATGCCAATAATGTGCCATCTTCTTCATCAAGACCATAGCCGAAGTAGTTGGCATCAACCTTCCTCGTCGCAATATCTCCACCGCGGCCAGACACTGCCTCTTCCTCCGCCGGTCCTTTCGCGCGAGTAATTGCAGCCTCGATCATTTCTTTGACACCAGGTAGGTCCCGGGCACGGCCATAATATTTATAGCCTCTGCCTCCGCCGGGGATCTCGCGCCCTTCATCGTCGTAAAGTCGATTCGATCCACGCATGTAATTCGGTCCGCCCAGGTTGCGGATTTGCATTTCCCACGCCCATTTCTCGCGCATGAGCTTGTTGATCTCATCGTTGAGGTCGCGGATCTGGTAGTCGCTCAGGCTTTGCACGTGGATGCGTGATACTTTGCGCGAAATTTCTTTGACGACTTGTCCGCGCCAGCGCTCGCATACTGGCACCGTGTCGATGGATGTGATGGCCTTGGGACGTCGTGTGCGCGAGATATCAATGATTCCGAGGTCTGCTGCTTGCTGCGCTCGGAAGCGGAACAGCATCGACTGCGCTTTTTCACTGTTGCGTGCCTGTTACATAGCGGGGGCTTGGGTTAGCAAAATGTGACTCGACTGAGATCTAGAGGATTCTTCATGGGTTTGAGTTGGGAAGGGTGAGGCTCACCATTTTGAAGAATTGACCAAGTCAGCGACCCGAAGAAGTCGGGTATCGTAGGCGTTGGCAGGGAAGAAATCCGGAGAGGAAATCATGAGCTTGACAGCTTGAAGTGAAGTTGCGCGCTAATTGCCGCTTAGCGCGCGGATATCACGTGCCTGTTTTCTATTTCTTCGATGTCAATCAGCTGTTAAACAATTATCTGTGTTTGATTTGGTGACGCTTTAGAATGCATCGTTTGTTTTCTAAAATCTCCCACGAAATGAAATGCAAAGCTTTCCATAGTCTTTCGCCTGTACTATGTTTTTTTCACAACCAACAGGTTACGTCATAATAGACAACTCGCTTCCGAATAATATATAGGTTTTTCTACTTGACTCGTCTGTCCACGTTGTAGGTGGGAATCCGGGGAATCTATATAATCTTGAGTTGTATTGCTCTAAAGAATATAGGCAATATCAGCCAGCATTTGTATTTGATGATACTCTACGTCCACTATACATTTCCAATGTCAATGTGGTACTCAAACCGTCGGAGTGCCTCGTGTCGGACAGCCTAAGTGGGGGAAATGATTAGCAAGATATATATTATTACAGGCTCGAAAACTGGAAAAAAAAAAACTGGGTGCATGGTCTCTCCCGTAAGATGCACTGCCTATGGTTATAATAGTCAAGAAATATTGAAACTTATCCGAAGAAGAGGACCGAAGACAAATAGAACAGAGGGTTTGGTGAGCTGTTACATTCTCGTCATTGTAGATAGCCTAGTTCACCCGTAGAGCATATTTACTCATAGATACAAACATGAGACAAAATAAACGCCGGAAAATACAGACCAAGGGACAAAAGCTTGGCCTTTCAAACAATATGAACAAGCCTAAGGCCAGCAGAAAAGACTGGAACATCCCTTTCCCAAATGCAAATAAACCTCATTAACACAAACATCCATCCATAACCAATGTTACAACTCCGGGCAGGATCAGCCTGCTACAATTACTCAAGCCCTGTTCACAAAAAGCCCTTGGTGTTGCTGGGTTGCCGTTGAGGAATGTCATTAGATCCATAGGCAGCACTCCCACGACGGCTTCCGGCATCACTGAAAGCTACAGGACCACGCCCAATAGTACTGCCTCGCTCAACGCGCAGGGCCTTCCAGCCCTCCAGCTCGCGTTCCAGACGCAGTGCTTTCTCACGTTCTTCGCGGAGATCTCGCTCGGCGCGGCGTGCCAGCAGCTGGGCATCCGAGTCGTTATGCTGGAGCTCCTCGATGTTGCGAAGGAGCCGTTCAATCTTATCCCGAGCTCTGTTGACATCGTCATTCAGCTGAGCGTTCATCTTGTCCCGCCTGTCGATCTGGGATTGGAGGTCCTTGACAGTGCGATCAACATTGCGAAGCGAGCGCTGCTCGGAGCTGTGCTTGCTCTCCTGGTCTTCCAAGTGGGTCTCAAGCTGAACGGCCAGGTTAGTAGAGAACTCACAAAGACAGAGCATAGAGCTAGTTTAACTTACCT